GGGGGCGTCGCCTGGCGCTTCACCTGGAGCTTCGCCTGGAGCTTCACCTGGAGCTTCATCTGGAGCTTCACCTGGAGCTTCATCTGGAGCTTCGCCTGGAGCTTCGCCTGGAGCTTCGCCTGGAGCTTCGCCTGGAGCTTCGCCTGGAGCTTCGCCTGGCACACAGACCATAACACTGCCACCAGGCACCCAAAACATTGGAACATTTAATCGTAACCCGCAGCCTAATGAAACATTACAACAGGTCCAGCCAGGTGTGATGTGTAACTGTAGCTCAGTGACGTATTCACCTTGTTACGGAGGAGAACCAGGAGTAAAACCTGAAGCTCCACCATGTTTGTGTCAGCAGTTCAGATTTTAGATGACAATGTTAGATCATTGTCGTTCTAGTTCATGTGCAAAGCGCTGTTAACAGCCCCGACGGATGGGACTAACACACACACACACACACACAGGTAGGGGTTTGGCACGTGGCTCTGTCTTGTCCCCGCCCCTCGTCACCTGCTTTCACGCGCTCCAAGTCCAACCATCCATTTACCATTAAACCCATGTCATTAGCATCTGCATGCAGGCTTACACATCAACATCTGTTTACATCAGAGCAATCCAGCTGTTGGCCTCATATTAATCAGACACGTCCACATAACATCTCTCCAGTTTTAGCCTCCCTACACTGGTTACCTGTCCATTTTCGGGTCCATTACAAAGTTTGACTCTGTTTTTAAATCCCTTCGTGGCTCTGCACCATCCTACTGATCTGATTTGCTTCATTGACATACACCCACACGCGCTCTGAGGTCAGCCAATCAGCTTCTCTTGAGTGTCCCAAGAACGAAGCGAAAGCTTAGAGGTGATGCTGGTCCTAAACTCTGGAATGATTTACCTCTGTCCATTAGACAAGCCTCTACCCTGTCTGTTTTTAAGACTCTTTTAAAAACTCATTTATTTTCACTGGCATTTTGATATTTTTGTGTTGATCTTAGTCATTTTTTAAATAGATTATATTTTATATTGTTGTTTGTGGTTTATAACTTATACTGTTTTATTGTAATGTACAGCACTTTGGTCCACTTTGGTTGTTTTTAGTGCTTTATAAATAAAGTTGGTATGGTATGGTGGAGGTCGACAACAGTGAAGGAAGAACCATCCTGCAGACTGTAGGTGTTAAAAACATGGTTGGTCTTTGATTCAGTGGAGTCAACCTGCAGGTCACCAGGTCAAAACCCGGAGCAGAGCTTCAGTGTCAAAACTCGGCTTGTGAAACCAAACTTCAAAGTAAAATGCACGAGATGAAAAGTACAACTTCCAACTTTCCAAGTCACTGTAACTTGATTTATTCAACCAAAAGTACGAGACATTAAATAAGACTTTTCAAGGAGGTGAGAAATAAAATGTCAAAGAAATCTGAATGTAACGATATGACATCGTATACAAAGTTCTACTGGGAACATCACATCGGTTTCTAAACGCTATGGGCATTTCTGCACTGCTACTGTAATCAATACAAAGACGACGTAAAGCGTCCTAAAACTAGAAACGTGATACAGAGACTACATCTTTACTGTATCTATAGACACACCTGGGCCAGAAGACACCTGTGAAACATGAGTGCTGTCCCTCTACTGTTCACATTACAAGAAAGAATAACAGATCTGTTATTCAGCTATTACTCATGATTTATTTGAATTTTATAGAAGAGGGTCTGAGTAAAAGATTATAAATTTGATTGTTACTACTGAGTAAATCCAGTTTGAAGGGGAACAGAAGAGAAATTTACTGGTTGTAAACTGGGAAGGAAAAAGTGAGAAAGCATCAGAAGTGTTTATATGAGGGGCAAGATTGGAAACCAAAAGGCAGATAGGAGGAATAAACTGTGTGAACAGAAGAGCTCTGAGGAAAGTCTTCAGTCGGCCTTTGGCTCCAAAACATCAAATAAGCAAAGAGACAACTGGTTTGATTTGTTTCCTTTATTGAGGATGTTGGTGAATCTTGAACAAGCACATGAAGCAGAACAGCAGCTGAGCCTTGAAACCATCCTGTCTGTACTCACTTCTCTCTCCAACAGGAGAGAAAAGGACCAAAGTTCAGGGAATAAAGCCAGATTTAAACTTTCACAACAGGAAGAAAACACAGAGGCCTCCTGCAGTGGTGTTCAGTGGTCGTGAGCCGCCCCACGGTGCGGTCGGCATGTACCAACAGTACAGACTGGATGGAAGGGTGCTGGTTTCCACAGCACCTGCTCCTTTATCACTATGAACACACACACTGGAGCTGATTCTGGCTCAGTCCCACGCACACAGTGCTGCTGCCACACATACTCGATAGAGACTAAATGTGGGTTCATTGGCCGCTGAAAATAGTCCCCAACAAATGCATTGTTTCCCCGTTTGACTAAAACTACAGTGGCAGGAAATGACTTGGTGTCTTAAAGACTTTAGGCAGCAGCTGAGATCTTCAGTTGTCTTTAGCTGACAAAGGAACATGTAGAAAAACACCAGACGTATCAAGTAAATATGTAACAGACATCAGAAGGAAATTCGTACCAGAGCTTCGTTTTAATTCTTCCTTTCCATCTGGTGCTGTTTAAGTCTACATTATGTCCACAAGCTCAACCAAGCAGCCGCCCGCTCCATCCCTGGGCGACGCCCTGACAGTCCTACCCAATGGTTTTTTATCAACAGTCATTATTCTAACATGGTCTCCAGCAGCCATCAACACAGTCTGACACACACTGGGGAAAGAAACTAAAATACACAAAGGTGTGGTACTGGACAGAGCACTGCTGATCTCAGGTGAGACCCTGTGAGTGGCGGGACCGAGCGACGCTGGTCTCCGTTCAGCCTCCAACCACCACAACAGTTTTAACTGCACCTGGATCCTCACGTGTTTGTTTTTTTTTTCTTGTTTTTTTTTTTTTTTAAACCAATCAGCAGCTTGATATGCATCAGGTGACACCAAGATGACCAAGGTAGGGGACCACCAACATCCCGCCTCCAAAAAAACCAGGAAGTGCCTCTCTTATTGGTGCAGAGGCCGGCCAATGTCCTTGAGACCCTCCCACCGACACGATTGGTTGAGTGTGACTGCTGAGCTGTAGTAAACAGGTCTCCACCTCTCCTCTCTCTCACCCTCCCTCTCTCCTCTGGCCTCTCTCCTCATCTGGGCACTGGCAGGCAGCCGGGCTGTGATTGGTAGAAGTTTGAGAGGGAGGCGGGGCTCACTGCTGCTTGGAGCGCCAGAACCGTGAAGCGATGGAGCCGAGAGGGAGCCCCTGTTTCTTCGCCTGGGAGAGCTCAGCCAGGCGCTGCTCCTCTTCCTTACAGGGAATCAAAACACATCAGTCCAAGAGAAAAAACCAAACAAACAAACACAACGAGGCTGTGCTTGGCTTCTCCACCTACCAGTGCCAGCTGAGCCTGTCTGCGTTTGAAGGCCTCGATGGGGTCGTCTTCCAGAGCGTAGTTCTCCAACACTGAACGGACGTCCTCCACTTTGCTCAGGGCGATAGCTGGCGGACAGGAGGAGAAGCAGAAGGACAGACTGTGACTCATTAGAAACCGACAAGACAATGTGATGTATACAAGCTCGTTTCATTTCAAGGAAAACCAGTTTTTCTTCTTTTTTTTTTTTTTTTTACATTCATGAAAGGCTCAGACGTTTCCAGGATTTCTGCACAGAACTTTCAAAACCACTCAGAATGAAAGTCTGTGCCCATTTCACAATAACATGAACGTTTGATGGCAAACCAGTGGGAACAAAATGATTATCATCACACTTCCTTCAGTGCATCCAGGCGGTGTATAGCAGTAACAGAATGAAATGATCTCTGGCACAGGTCTGATGGTTCTGACTGAAACTCCACAACACAGATTCACCTGCCTCCTGTTGCACAATTCCACGTTTACTGTATAGGTGTGTACCAGTGACACAAAACATTACTGCCCACAACACACAACATATTTAAAGCTGCATTAACTAACGTCTCCCTGTAATTTTCAACAGTTAAGGGCAAAATGAGTCAAAACAAACTCCGCCCACTATTGCATCACATTCAATGTCAGTGTTACACACTCGACACACAGCATTATAAGGTAACCGTGAGTTAAAATCTTCTCATGAAAATGCTACATGGATCGTGCCACTGCCTGCAGTGTTATGTCTGACACAGACTGAACAAAATGACTTATCTTACTAATCCAGGAAAATGTGCTGCTTTCTGCTAATTGGACAACAAATCACAAACGTTGCAGTTTGTTTTTTTTTTTACTTGATTTATCCAACTTTGTGCCAAGTCTTAGTTAATGCAGGTTTAAAACCATTTTAAGACCAGAGCCCATTTTTACGACTGCATACAACAAAGGACAACAGTTAAACAGATGACAACACTGGACCCCGAAGGCCTCACTCCGCGTCTTACTCTTGAGGAAGTTGGCGAGGTCGTAGAGCGTTCGGTCCTCAGAGTTTCCATCCCATTTCTTCAGAGCCATGCCGTTGAAGGGCTGCAGGCTAAACGCCTCCCGCTTACAGTCCACCACAATCACCTTACTGGTGTCCCGGTTCAGACATGACACGTCCTGAAGAAGACAAGACACGGACAAATGTAGACACCTGTGATGTTCTGCTACAGACAAAGTGTGATGTTTGGACCTGTGCTGTTGTTTTAATGGTCTTGTCTCCACCTGCTCCACTCAACATAAGCTCAGGGGCCCTGTTGACCGTTTAAGGCCTAATAAAAGAAGTGACTATTATCTTAATGATCCTTAACATTTATGGAGATTAACACACATCTTTTTATAGTTGAGAGGACACTCACTGACATAATGCAGCCCCTAGTCCCTAACCCTGACCTAAACCTGGTCCTAACCTGAGTCTGAACCCTCAAGCTCTGAAGGTGTGAGGACCAGACAGTATCCTCACAGTGATGGTTTTGAACACAACCACAGGAGGACACACACACTTTCCCTGGAAGCCCCAGCTGGTGTGTGTTGAGACAGATGGAGAAGGACGCTGCTTGTTGTCTCGACCCCCCCCCCCAGAACCTGCTGCTGTGTGTGTGCAGAGACATCCGACCATCCTCCTCTGAGTGAATGAATAAGAGGCATCTGTCTTCGTTCAGTGTGTGTGCGTTGGGTAAACCTGAAATGACGTGTCTGCACGTACACAGGTGGACAATAATGATATGTAGGTAAATTCATCTCCATTTTGAATTCAAATGATGACACACGGTCAGGCATCGTGTCAGCTGGTAGGTTTTATGAAAACTGTTGAGCACCAGACCTTCAGAGGGGAGATGAACAGATCTGTAGGTTTGTGCAACGGAAACCACCTGAAACTTACTATTAGTAAGACTAGAGTTGATTTTCAGAAAACAAAAGTTACACCATCACCAACTCTCATCAGTCGTGAGCAGAACTATGGATGCCTGGTTGGGACAAATGGTACAAAAGGCAGCCTGCAGTCCAAAGCTAGCATTAGCGTTAGCTTGTGACTGTGCAACGTGATCCATCCTGTGGTCCAACAGGATGACCAATGTCTGTAGCCTGTTGAATTTCTTAAAAAGATTTTGTCAGACTTGTTGAGTGAATTAGTGATCATTTCTCCAGATACTAGTTCATCTTATTTTAGGTTTAAGGTTTAAATACAACAGTTTGCTTCAGGTGGCGACTGCAGAGCTGACTTGAGACATTTCCAGAAATGCAAACATTTCATCATATTCATGCCATCTGTGCTTCTACTTCTGTGTGTTGTGACACACAAGCCAGTGGCGTGATCCGGTGCTGCAGATGTGCGTTACACCAACACCGAGCTCCGTCAGCTACAGTATATTAAGCATGAAATTTGATGTCTGATGCCACAGAGGAAAAGGTTCAGACATTTCTTTTGTACTGACATTTGTAGTTATTAGTCAAAGACGATATGAATTAAAAACCATCTTTAGTATCAACGTACTGTAAACCAGCTCTGAGATCACAGCCTCACACAGCTACAGTCGTTTTAGTCATTAACAGTTTTCATAGTGTTTGGATTATAACCCCAGGTGGCAGAAAATGCACATCCACAGACAATGTTCTAATTTCATGGAACTGTTAGTAACTTTCTCTTGACATATGCAGCATTTCTAACTCTCCCTGAGCATCTGTTGCATTCAGGTCTGTCTTGGCGTTATGGAGTTGAGATAAACGCGTCTTCTTTCTGGTAAGTAGGTTAAACAGCTCCTTACACTGTTCTGACTGCTCAGAGAGAGTTGGAGGGAGACAGAAGGAAAGGGGGAGGAACTTGGAAGGAGCAAAGGAAAAGAGGGAGGAGAGAAGAAAGACTGGGGCAAAGGAGAGGTGGGATAAGAGGAAGATAGGAGCAAAGGGAGGAGGCAGAGGGTTAATGAGGCCTGAGAGTGTGATGGAAGGGACAGGAGGGGTGAGGGAGATCTGTGGTGAGGAGGAGAAATCAATGTCAGCGGCAGAAGGCAGCTATGGGGGGTAATGTGGAGCCTCCTTCCTGATCAGGTTTCTCAGGGGAGGAGCTGTGCCACAGAACCACAGGTTTAGAAAATAAAAGTCATTATGAAATGTTACTTTGGCTTTTTTCACAATAATAGCTTTAAAATTCAAGTGAAAATTGCTGGACCTAAATAAAAATGATCATTGTGAATTAATTACTGTGAATAACACAAGTATATCGTATCGTTGTGGTTCTGGATAAACGGCACAGCTGAAGCTGTGTGTGTCACAGACTGTCATATAAACATTCACACATTTAAATAAATGAAATGTTTATCTGGATTTGGTCAGTTATTTTAATATTTCCATTAGATTTGTGTAATTTTACTTTTAATTAAAGTTACTTTGTTGTGTTATTTACACTCAGCGGTCTGTTTATTAGGAACACATAGCTCAAACTAAGTCACTCTAATCCAACAGTCCTGCAACAAATCTTCCTTCATGAAGGTGACAGAGTTCATTTTGGGTACAAACAGTTTCAGCCTCACTGATATAAATGGGAAGGACTCAATAATAGAAACATGTCTCTGTTTAATGTAACACAATTTAACAGCACACCTCTGTGAAGCAGTGTCAACTGAATATTATCACCTCTATTCCCACTGAGAAAGGCTGCAGCAGATGCCACCTGTGGGCTGTACAAACACGCACACGCAGATCGTACCTTAACGTGATGTCCCTCCACGTAGCGCGTTGCATCTCTAAACAGGCGATACATGACAAAACCCTGTGGATCGATGCTGTCGATCAGAGGATACGCAGTCTGGAGACACACAGAACAAACAAGATAATCATCATCGGCCAAAACGCGCCGGCACATTTCTTTGTCCTCTCAGTAAGAATAATATTTGGATGCAACTGTAAACAAGTAAAAACTTGAAGTGTTACACTGATCTGAGGAAACCTTAACGCACTGTTTGTGTGTGTGAATTTTGCGTTCAGCTAAATGTAAACAAGACGACACAGCCCAGAGATCTGACTGATCACCATATTAGCACCTCCGTGGATCACACAGAAGCTGCTCAAGATTTTTTCTGTTTACTGAATCACCCCCAGGCCAGTGTGCGAGCCTCACCATGCCGGTCTCTGCGGTGAAGATGACAATCTCATAGAGCGGCGTGAGCTGCTGGAACAGGTAGTCGATGCCCGGGCGCTTCTTAAACCGCCAACCTGTCGACAACTGGAACCACAAAGAGTAAAAACAAAAGCAATCAACGGGTTGTGATGTTTAGGTGCAGAGCAGCACGGCCTGTGAACTGCACACATCCACACAGAGCTGCACAAACATACAACACTGATCCAACTTTAGAAACCGGAATTGCTCTGGTAACCTTTGACTGACTTGGCCATAACATCTGACCAAGTTGCAGCCACAGTCCTCTGAGGAAATAACGTAATGACAGGTAAAAATATTAATTATTAACTGGACCGCACCAGCAGGCTGCTGGTTTGAGGAGACCTGCACAAAGCTGCAGAGGGAAGGGAAGGCAGCGTCTTCTAGGGTTTGTGTTTGCCTGCTCATGTAACATAAACGTCTTTCCTAGTTTAGTGTGGAACCAGAACAAGCAAGTGGTGGGTTCTACTAGGTGTGTGTGTTTGTCTGATTTAACAGGCAACAGGTGTTGAGTTACAGCTGCTGCACACCTGTCAGACGCACAGCAGATGACAAGGCAAGCCGACAGGTGGTGGGACACACCTCTGACACACAACCTACATCCTCCTGTCTCATAAATCCATTAACCCTCAAACTCGTTAGGGTTAGGGTTAGGGGAACAGTGGTGAGTCAGTACCGTCAGTGCAGTCTAACGACTTGGTGCTCGTGGTTCTCTGCTGATTTAGCATTTCACTCCTGTAACACTGCAATAATCACAACATACTAACAGAAATTCAATCAAAAACTGATGCAGCAAAAGCACAGACCATTTTTATTCCACACATTCTTGTCAAAGTCTGGTGCTTACATTACCACAATGCGACTTCAGCTCCAACAGCTGAGTTTGCGATTGAGGTGTGTTATGCTAGCTAATGTAGCAGCTAATGTAGCTTCCAGCAGCTACAGAGGTCTGGTCAGCTGCTTCTTTCTAGCACCACACCTCCAGTTTATGTCTTGTACATGGAGTTTTCAGGTTAATACTGACTCAAGTGACATCACTTGAGGACATTTATGAGACTGGGCACAGCCCGTCTGGAGACTCCACAGGCTTTGTACTATTAGCACAGTAGGACTCCCCAAACCTGTCAACACGCCACTTTGGAAAACCAGTGGAGTTCCCTTTGCAAGCTTTGTTTATATGTGTAATGAAAACCCCTAATATGGTGATGACGTTACAAAGTAACTTACCAGAAATGGATAACACAGCATTGTGCTGAACCTGCACTTTTGTTCTAAACCTTGTGTACCAGCAGCACTGCCATGTTAATGTAGTGACCTGATTTAAATGGAAAAGGGAAGTGTGTTTCTACACAGCTCTGGTGTGTGTGGAGGGGAAGGCAGAGTAATAATCTAGGAGGGCAGAGGTAGAATGAGAAGAAGAACAGAAGACTGCTTTTCATTTCCACTGTGGCCGTTCAGACACATCTGAGTTACAGCGTGGCTGGACAGCACGTTTTAGAGCTGGTTCTTAGAGGAACAGAGAGTGTGAGGAGACGCACCGACCACTCCGGATGCAGCAGGACGTCGGTGAGCTCCAGCACCAGAGTGTACGGAGGCTGGTAGTACGGTTCCTTCAGAGGGTCCGGCAGCAGCTTCGGGCTCGTCGGCTCAATGATCATCTGATGTCATCCACAGTGCACAGACACACAGACACAGACAGCAGGTCACACTGTGCCTTCAGAAATCAAAGCAAATTAACCAAAAACATATTTCACAACACCTTCCACGTCAGATGAGGAAGTAGGAAGGCTGAGTACATTCTGGAAATTCTAGCTTCTAAAGGGATAATAACAACAAGCCTTTTATAATTAGGGCTGAAAGGTTTATCCAAGAGGCTGTAGATAACACTTTCCCTTTACAGGAGCCAAAGTCAGCTCATATTACTGCTCTGAAAAACCCGAACAGGAAGTTGGGCTATACCCTTATCAAGATATTGCCTACCATATTACCTCTACCAAGAGAGCTTGCTGGTTTGTTTGTTAGCAGCATACCCCAAAAACTCCTGAACAGGTTCGGATGAAATGTTTGAGAGATATGGACCATGAAACAACCGATTAGAGTTTGGTGCTGATCTGTCTCATAATTTGGATACAGGAATATTTTAAATGACTCTTCACCACTGTGAGTGCTGGAAAGGCTGCTGGCTATATGTGAGCCCACTTTTGGTCAAAGTGCACGGCTGTGCTGCTGAGCACTCTGATCGCATACAAAGACAAAGCCCAGAGTTAGTTACAGCTGCTCGCTCACTGTCAGCGGCAACCGAGTGCTATCACTCAGTCCACCCCGCTGTGTCAGACCGGGACTGAAGGAACCGAAGGAACCGAGCGAGGCCACGGCCCACAGCTGGGGTGGGATCGACTCTGTGCAGCGACAGCGGGGTGAGAGCCTGATGGCAGAGATTTGGAGTCAGGCTCAAAGCTGTTAACATTTTCATTTATAAGACTGGTTTTATGCCACGTTATTAAGTTTTGACAGTTTTTCAGGTGACAAAGTGACGACTTAGACTGAGAATATGTGGTCAGTCTGTCCAAGTAATGCCAATTTAGAAATTGTTCTGATCTTTTCAGAGATGTGAGCATAGACATAGACAGTATATGTATAGACCTATAAGTCTATGGATGTGAGTGCTCCTTATCTGACCAAGCTAGCTCTAGCTAGCAGGCAGCTACATCTCGTTCAGAGCACAGCAGTGTTCCAGTTTCACATTATAGCTGTATTTCCACTGTTGGAACCTAACGAGAGGTTCATCCCGTGCTTCCCTTAACCGTCACTCGCCATAACATCGTGGGTTGGCGTGGATGTCCTACTTTGCTTCACTGTATTTTTCCTCCGTCGGTCTCGAGGGGCTGCGCTCCTCCAGTAACAGAGGCTGTATGAGCAGTTTATCAAACAGCTGTTGGTTGAACAAGCAAAATACAAATTTGTAGGAATGTGACGTCTTCACCGCTTCGCTCCACCGCTCACTGGAGTCCCCGCTTTACCCCTAAACTAACAAGTGGATGCCTGTCATGTCTTTGAGTGGTTTGTTCAAGGAGGATGCTGTGAAGTCTAGACCTTATGCCCTTGTTGTTGTGCTCCTGCGCTATAACCTACAAATAAAACTGTAAGACTTGAACTGCATGACTTTCAAACCAATAAAAATATCAGCGTTGCTCCAAATGGCAGCAGCAGGTTTTCATGGTCAAGCAGTCGTATACCAGGTTCAAACTATCAGGGAAATGTTGTTTTTATGACACTGTGGAATAACTGAGCTGCCCTTGGTGGAGGTTGAACTCTGAGTGCTGTCTAGTTAATACTAAAACTGTTTCTGGTACAGAATATACTGTTAATAGCACTTACTCATGACTCACACTGCTGCACTGAACATGTTTTTAATTATTCATTTAAAGGGGGAAACACTACACCTTGGATAACTAGCTCCTACATGTGTTGAGTGCACTTGTTTTAAGTAACTTTGGACAAAAGCATCTGATGTAAGGTACAGAATACACACTCTCCATAATATTGCCAAGGGCACTAGGGGAAAATCCAAGCCTAAAATATAAACCTTGTTTTTAGACCCTTCTTGCAGACATCTCAGATGAAACTGAGATGTGTGGTCAGACAGGGCTCCCTTATCCAGGAATCAGCATAAAAACACCTCCCGTCCTGTGTCAAGTACAGTACAAATGACATCATGGTTTTCACAGTAATACATTATTCAAATCGTCACTATTAATTCTGGTAACTCAGCTAAAAACCAGCAAAGGGAACATCAAAAATAAGGGGGTTCTCACCGTTAAAGAGAAGTGGAGTTTTTTGTAACCAACAGATTTAGCTAGTCATGGGAGATTAAAGTAATGCACTTGCATTTCAGCTTGTGAATTTGCTTTTTTTAATAAATGTACCAAAAGATAAAAGTGGCAGTGTGGACGACTGCAAGTATCACCTGTTCATACAGGCTAAATTTAAAACGGCAGAACTGGCCAACGTCATAACTCGGACAGAACTCACAGGGTTAATATAGTTAATGATTATAATTGTACTTTGAGACCAAAACTGATCACATGCACAAAGACACAGCAATCCCTGCAGGAACTTTTAAAGACAAACCAATTCAGATACTCAAAGTTCAATTTATTCCGTTTTGTTTTTAATCATTTTCAATTATTGTGACCACATTTATTTTGCCTGGAGTTTTGAAGAGTGGTCTCGGACATCGGATGTCTCATGAACAAATACAAGTCTGTATACATGCATGAATCAGTACATGCACCATTTTAAACCACAATAAATAATGTGCAAAACAAAGAAACACATAAATTCTGGTGAGGAAGAGTAGCATTTATTCATCTTCACCCACTCACCTGTCTGTAGTCCTTCAAGTATTTGTAGGTTCTTTTCAACTGCTGGACAACCGGAGGATCTGAAAGATGGAAGGGAAACCACACAGAGGAAACACTGTTCAACAGATGTCAAGGTAAATGTTTAAACACAGTCGGGGAATCATTTAATTCAGACGTGTTAGGGACATACAGAGAAAGCAGAGACAGTGGAGAACGACCTACAAATGTAAGCTGTTAGAATACTTGCATAATAATTCTGCATTTTCAGGTCTGGACTGTTGAATAGAAGAGAAACGAAGAAACACAAGAGAAGATGGCTGAACTATGAAATTATCAAAGACAAAGAAAGTATGACGCAGTTCGATCCACATCAATAGAGGTGAACCACCTGAGCACAGCCTGGGTTCTGATGGGCTCCAAAAACTAGTTCTCTCAGGAAACACCGGCCCAATGGAGCAGCTCATAGGACACAGCGAGCTTTTTCCAAAGCTGATCACCATCCACCTGACTCCACCCACTGATGATCTGTTTCTGCATTTACCTAACAAAGTTCTCAGTGTTTGCTCCAAATGAGTTGCCACCGTGAAAAACAATGAAATGCTGAAACCTTCCCATGGGGGGTGACTACTTCTGGAATTCATTTAGTTTTACACCAATATTCCTCTGAGCCGAAGGCTGCAGAGCTCAGGGTACCGAGGACAGGCGATAGGTCAACGTCCCCTGTATAAATAGATGGAAAGCCTCACACCATATGTGACAAATAAAATACATTGTGTATCTGTTTGTGTGAGCCCTTGTGTACGTCTGCTAAATACAGCGTCTCCTAAACAGGCAGGCTGATCAAATTAGCAGTTTTTCCAAATAATAAAAAATATTATGCAATCAATGTAATTATTAGAAGTTAAAATAGAGCACATGACTTTATACAACTACGAACCTCTACAATATCATTCACTGATGTCATACCTGTCAAACCAACCACAGCACAAATGAAGCTACACCAAACGCTGACGAAGCTCACTGGTGTTTCACTCTCACCTCAACAGGAACAGAACAAAGCAGGGTGTGATCTGATTGGTCAATTATCTGTGAGGTGATCAGAGGAGTCACATGGTATGGCCTGCAGCCCCCGAACTAATCAATGAGCCCGCTGACGATGGTGCTGATACGCCAGCGAGGCAAGTCCGCTGGCTAATAACCCCTCCAGCTGTCAACCAATGACTAATAATAAAAAGACTTTGTTTCCCATGAGGCAGCGGGTTCATTGCTGCAAACAGGAACACAATAACATGATCCACACACACACACACACACACACACACACGGCTCTCTGTGTCTTCATCTCCAAACACACAAGCTGAAGCTTGGATGCTCTGGTCCCAGGGGATACAATCCCCCAGAGTTCACTGCAGCATGCTGAAGCAGGAAGCAAAGGCCATCTGCCACTGTGCTGCTGTCCCGATGCACTGACTGGGCACATGCACTTTCACATGTGGCTGTGGCTTCAGAAAGCATTCAAACCCCTTCATGTTTTGTGGTTTATTGTGTTGAACATTTAACTCTGAGTAGATAAAACTGCCATTTGGCCCATCAGTCTACACTCAGTAATGACAAAGTGAGCACGTTTTAGACAAGTGTTTGCTGCGGCCCAATACACGAAGCAATACCAAATAAAATGGAAGAGAACAGACTTAAAGCTTTGCTTGGTGTTATAGGCGGAACAAGTGAAACACAAAACGTGAAGCTGCTGGTGCAGACCCCCAATACCTCCGCGGTGCAGACCCCTAATACCTCCGTGGTGCAGACCCCCAATACCTCCGCGGTGCAGACCCCCAATACCTCCGCGGTGCAGACCCCCAATACCTCCGCGGTGCAGACCCCCAATACCTCCGCGGTGCAGACCCCCAATACCTCCGCGGTGCAGACCCCCAATACCTCCGCGGTGCAGACCCCCAATACCTCCGCGGTGCAGACCCCCAGTACCTCCATGGTGCAGACCCAGACTCCTACCCTAATACTTCCGTGGTGCAGACCCCCAGTACCTCCGCGGTGCAGACACCCAATACCTCCGTGGTGCAGACCCAGACCCCTACCCTAATACCTCCGCGGTGCAGACCCCTAATACCTCCGTGGTGCAGACCCCTACCCTAATACCTCCGTGGTGCAGACAGCTGAGCTGATTAAAACAGAAACTGTCCTGACAGACCAGGTGAGACCAGCCATGTCTAGACGCCCTCTGTGTAGACATTCCTACAGGATGTCATAGACAGTGCTAGAAACTGGAGCTGAAATAACACCCCACTCTTAATCAACAGAAAATTGCCAGGCTCCTATTCTGGACATTGATTAATCATCTATATCACTTCCTCTGTGGCAGTAAATTAAATATATTTGGGTTCTGGACTGTCACCAGTCAGGTGCTAGACGCCAGGAGGACTGAGGCAGGCGGCCTCTGGGTCCCTGAGTAAACAAGGTTTGTGTGTTCTCGGTAATGAAATGAAGTGGGGAGATAACATGCACTCTAATGCAGCGTGGGTGTGTAAGCGTGGCTGCTGAGTAACCACTCCCCTGGGACCCCGATCAAACACACACTATAATAGGAAAAGTGAGTGTGTGTGCAGTGTAGACCTGATGTCAGCCTTGTGAGTATGTGTAGATGCCTTCTCTGATGTGTGTGTATGTGTGTCAGGAGGATGGAGGGGATAGATTAAGGCAGGCTTTTATGATGTTAATAGGTGGTGGTGATGGGGGAGGACAGAGGAGTGTATGACATGCACTGCAACCCTGGACTCATAGACATTACCTGGAGGAGCTGTGTGTGAGAACACAAGTGTCCAAATCATTGTGCCCAGATGTCACATGGACTGTACCCTGCCAGCTCCCTAGTCCAAAGTCTGACATGAACACGTGTGAACAGGAGGAGGACAAAAGCATGAATGAAAGGGAAGATGAGAAGAAAGAATAACAGAAGAGGAAGGAGAACAGGATGATGATTGAGGAGCAAACAAAAAGAGGGAAAGAAGAAAACCAGGGAAAAGGGTGTAGAGAAGAAGGCAGGAAACAAGAGATGAAATCAGAGCAAGGAGAGATGAAGAAAGAGGTAAGAAGGGAGGTGGGAGAGAGGGATGGGGGGCCTCCACCCTCAACAAAAGCTGCGGTCAGGCTTGGCATCTGCTATGCAACACCACCTCCCACCTCCTGCTCCTCCGACATCTCCTCTCCTCCATCAGTCGTTTGTTTTGTCTCCATGCGATGACGGCAGCGAGGCCCGACCTCCAGGAGACGGCAGCCACTTTACACATGAATGGTGAGAAAGGTGCTATTTATAGGACACATAAGGTGTCATTGTGTTCAGTTTGGACTAACACACCTCAGTGGGGCTGCAACCAACAATTCTTATCATCAAACAGTCCACCAAGTACTTGTCAGATTAATGGATTAACTGTTTAATCTATGTGATGTCTGTAAATAGCCCAAGCCCATGTGTCAATTCTAAATTTTGTCCACATAACAGTCCAAAACCCAGAGACATCCAGTTTGCTGCTGCCAAAGCCTGAAACAATTTGCCAAAGCTCATCTTAACACAATGAATCCAACTAATGTTTTGGCATTTTTGATGGAAAATAAGAATCAAATGTGTTGAAGATAAATGTCCTGTTGACCGGTTAATCAAATAACAGACTGTTTCAGCTTTCTCAGCGTCCTAGTCTGCTTCTCCAAAGTCCAGCTGCTTGGGCCATGTGATGCATTTGAGTGCAGTGTTAAAAGTCTCATGACTATTCTGAGAACACTTCCTAAAATCCTGAGTGCTCACTGTAAAGACAGTCAGACATTTTGGACTTCACCAGGAAGACGCCTACACAGCTAATCCAGCCAGTTAACATGACGAACATTCACAATGAGTGATTTTCTTTTTGTGTTATACTGCTGTCAGTTAAGTGTTTAACAACTGTTTGAAAATGTTAGAAAACGGAGAACTTGCTGATTTACTACATCTTTAGATGTGTTTCTGTATTTCTGCATGACGAAGGAGACTGGGTAGATAACTGATCGCCTGTGAGGATCATGAAATTCAAGACTGTTGTGTATTGCATGTGCACGTGTGTCACATTTCCTGCTTGTCATGGTTATGATGACACTCCTCTGCATCACCCGTACAAATGCCGACAGCCGCCACTTGACATCCAAACAGAGTCTGTAGCCAAGCCTGTCCCATGAGCCCCATTTATATATTCATCCATCAATTATCCATTCCTCCGTTCACCTGCTGCCCAGAAGAGGAGGAGGAGGAGGAATGCCCCGGTGGCAGAGGGGGAGGTTGGGATGGAAGAGACAACACTGAAAGAAGATGAGGAGGATGACAGGACGAAGGAACAGGTGAAGATGAAAAGGAACAGGGATGACGGAGGAGGAGAGGGACGGCATGAAGGACCAGTGTTTATCGCTCTTCACTCCCTGAGGGATCATCACCTTCTGCCCTGGCCCCTAAGCTCATCAGGGATGATTTGGCCCCAACCACTGAGGTCTCTGGGTCATGATTGGCCCTCATCACTCTGCTGAGGGCTAATGGGAAACGTGAAGGGAACCGTTTATCAGTTCTGTAGGTAATGATTCAGTATCATTTATCTCCCTTCCATTAAAACGATACATGATGGTGGTGTCATGATCATGTGAGGTCTTCATCCACCAACCGCTGCTGCCAGTAAGCTCAGTTTAACTCAAGATGACAAAACCACCTGAAGCTGGTTTAACTACAGTGAATCCTTAGCCTTAATGGCCGGTGTCCGTCTGGGTTCAGCCCCAGTCTCACAGCGTTTTGTGACACCACACACCAGCTGGCTGTTTGTGCACCTCATCCACTGACAAGAGAAACAAGTCAGCAACATCTAAATAGGAATGTTGTCGTCCAGTGTTCACCTGAGAAGCGGAGAGACAGCTGTGAGGTTTCTATCAGGTTGACCTGCCAGGAGAGAACTCTCCTGTTAAATGAATTCTGATCACCTGCTGATACTAACAATGCCTTCATCAATACCTCAGTGCCCCCGAGGCCCAGTTCTGCCTGCACCTACACCCCTACATCTGTTGATCAGTCCATCCATCCATCAATTAGCCCATGTGTCTAACCTCTCCTGTCTGTCTGTCTGTCCAAACAAACTTTATTTACCTTTTGTTCCGTTTTAGTTCGGCCTCAGTCAGAACAGCAACTCTGGTAAAACAATCAAGCTGCTGGCTGTAAACACCACGTTAGCTGTATGAGCTGCAGACCTGGGGGAGCCAGCACCCAGGGTGGATATGAAGACAGATGGACAGACAGACAGAGAGGAAGATGAAAAGACACAAAGAGAAGAGAGAAGGTAATAAAGTTACAGACAGGGAGATGAAGAGATGGAGTTCTGTAGTCAGTCACCAAAGTGGACCTTGGGGAGTTTTTAGGATCGATGGACTCAGGGAGAGGAATATGTGTGGGCACAGACACGCTGAACCCTGGGAGAGAGTGTTATTGATGAAATGATTACTAGAAGCAGCAGGCGATCAGAATTCGCTTAGTGTCCAATTGATGCAGGGGGATCTGAAAACCCAGAAGCAACAGTTAACCAGTGTCAGCTCCAGTGTCGTCTGCACATCACCGGAGCTCAGTGCAACCATAAAAATGTGTTGTTAGACTCATTGCACCGTGGGTTATTGACAACGGACTCCACCTCTTTGAGACATGCACTGACACCCTGAAATCATCTAAAGTGCATGTTACACAGGGGAGCTGTATGTGAGAAGGCAAATGTCTGGGTCGACTGACCCAGACAGACATTGCCCTGCCAGCTCCATAAAATGTCCACATAAAGTCCAAGTGAGCCCATGTGAGAATACAGCATCTTATAGTCTCAAGTATTCCCACTGAGCTAATGGGAATACGCCAATGGTGAAGAAAAAGTCATTTATAGTGAGGACAAGAAAAGAAAAGTCTAACTGGAGACAACGAAATTCAGGAACTTAAGAGCTGGCATTGAAATCACCAGACAAATTTAAGGTTACACCAAGAGCACGTTAGTCAGACTTCAGCAAACTGAAGAACTGGTTAAAGTTCATCCAAATAATTTAAAGGACAAAGAACTAAAACTGAAACTTGGCCACAAAAGCCTGACAGACTGAATAAGAACGTAGCTCATGGTGCCACGAGTGTTGAGGACTTATTTGTTTTCTCCTCTTAAGTCAACGTTTCTAAATTCCATTTTTTTGTCGATGATGTGGAGATTTAGTCAGTTTTTGTTTGATGAAGTCAATCTGGCCTCGACTCTGTCAGGAACAAAAAGCTGTTCATTAAAACATTTAGTCAAAAATGTCAGCAACAAATTGACCAAAAGAGAAAACTTTGAAACACGGCGTTGACTGAAAGCATTTGTTTAAAGTCGTATTTTGGGCAGCTTTGCTGTTTTTCTTCTTTTGTATAATGATTCAATCACTGGAGGCTGCTGTGTCCTCTGTCCTACTACCAAATGGGTGGATCACCAGAATGTAGATGCGTGTGTGTGTTTTGTGTTGTTGGGCAGTCTCATTGGCAGAACAGGGGGATGAAAGAAGGGACCGGGGCAGATGGATGGTTGGTATAAATGCACATATACACACAGAGTGAGAGCAGTTGGCAGCGCCACCTAGGCTCTGCAGAGTGATCCATCAATCACACAAACCCTGACACCAGCACACACACAATGAAACCCCAGTGAGCTTCGTCAGGGTGTCAAAGACACACATGCTCAGTAGAAGGCGGAGGAGGACTCATCTGGACCAAAGCAGTGTGAATACAACACACACACACACACACACACATTTTCTTAAACACATCTGCAGTGAAACCCAAGCACCTGTCAGGCCTCTGGTTGTTTGGCGTTTCCAGACATAAAATACATTGTCAACTTGCCACAACCCAAAGTCATGCCCACAACTAGCACTGCAACTAATGACAGATGATGATCTTTGATGAAATGAGTCACTGGTCAGACCACAGAATGTCAGAAAGTAGT